GCGTCTGCTGCTTCGCGAGGTCTGCGGGCCCGATCTCGAGGCGGAGCGGCACGCCCTGTGAAGGTTCCTGGTTAGATGACAGGCAGGCGGGACAGGACGCGGGAAGGTGCTCGCCTTCTGCTCCCAGTCGTTGAACTTGAAGCCGGGGGTGTAGCCTTCGCGGAGGTCCGCGCGTGCGCGGACGCCGGCCTTCTTGAGCGTGTCCGCAAGCTTTTCGGCGGCCTCGTTGACGGCGTTGCGCTGCTCGTCCGTCGACTTGGCCGTGATACCACACGGGACGACGACGACCTGGACCGCGGCGACGCGCGGGGGCAGGACGAGGCCCTGGTTGTCGCCATGGATCATGACCATGACACCGATCGTGCGCGTTGAGAGGCCCCACGAGTTTTGCCAAACGTACGCCTTGCCGGTGCCGGAGGGGTCGTTCGGGTCCTCGACGAAGATGTTGAACATTTCCGGGCGCGAGAAGTTTTGGCCCAGACAGTGCGACGTCGCACCCTGGATACCGCGGCCGGTCGTGGGCACGAAGCCCTCGACGGTCGTTGTGTAGAGGCCACCAGCAAACTTCTCCTTCTCAGACTTGACACCGGGGATGACGGGGACGGCGAGCAGCTCCTCGTATACTCGCCGGTAGAGGTCGAGGATCTCGAGGACCTCCTTGTCCGCTTCAGGCTTGGTGAGATGTGCAGTGTGCCCCTCTTGCCAGAGGAACTCGCGAGTACGGAGGAAAGGTTCTGGATACAAGTGAGGGGTAGTGGGCATTGGGAGGATATCCGCAACTTACGGGGGTTCTTGAACTCCCAGCGGACGACGCTGTTCCACTGGTTCAATTTGAGGGGCAGGTCACGGTGGCTTTGAATCCACTTTGCGTAGTCTAAAGGGGCGGTCAATAACCTACGCGACGTCCTGACGTGGGCACTTACAGGGGTACATGACAGTTTCCGAAGTTGGGCGGATAGCGATAGGCTCCTCGAGCTCGGACGTACCACTGCACTCAAGTTAGTCCACCATTTGGCACGACTACCACTTTGACGTACGCTCGCGTGACCCAGGCAACTTCAGGGGAGAAACCCTCAACGTGGTCCTTTTCCCGCTCCAAGACCTTCGACGAGACAAACATGGGGAAGTACGCGTTCTGGACGCCCATCTCCTTGATCTTGCTGTTAAACCAATCTGCACATCGCTTTAGCCCTGGTGCAATTCAATCAGTGCAAAATCCGTAGCATACCTTGGATTGTCTCCCAAATGTTGAACGACCAGGGGCGCAAGATATAGCATCCGCTAACGTTGTAGTACTCGAGCATGTCGGCCTTGATGAGCACGTTCGTGTACCATGTGGGGAAGTCGACCTCCTTCTTCACGCCGATAGCGATCTGCACGGCTCCCTCGATCTTCGCGGCCTCCTTTGCGGGAGCGGCGGAAGTCGACGCGGCAGCAGGGGCAGGGGCCTGCAAGTTGGCGATGTCCAGCTCATGAAGGGTAGGGGCACCCTCGGTCGCAAATTGCTTCACGTAGGCGTAGAGATCTTTGCCGGAAAGGAAAACGGTCTTGTCGGAGGAAAGGCCGCGCACGGCAAATGTGGAAGCGGAGGTGGCGATGGCGGAGTCGATTACGGTAGTGACTTTAGAGTATGACGAGGCGTTGAGGGCGAGGGGGGACACTGCAGGGATGAGAGCGTCAGACACAATCGTTTAATCTGCGTGTCGGGTGTGCTTGGTGTGGTATATATTTTCTACAGGTGCCGCACTTCATTCGCACAGTTACTCTGAGGTCTACTGCGGGCCATATCATATGCTATACGGCACGCAGAAGGAAGAAAGGCGGCCAAGATATCTTCCTTCCGGAAGAGCCATCTGCGATGCAGTCAAAGAGCACTCACGGAATGACCCTCAACGCGCACATGCTTCTCCACGCGCACCCCCAAGAGCACAGTGAAGCTATGGGAGACTCACGGGAGTTTTTATCGAGAGCAAAGAACTCCTTGAGGAGGTCTTCAGACGCGAGGCGAAGGTCCTTCAAATTCAGGTTCTTGCCAAGCACGCCCGAGGGCACGTCCGTCGTTTCTCGCGCGATCACGACCACGGGCACGGGCGTCGCCGTCTTTGCGGTCTTGGGTTTGTATACAAGCGTCTTGATCAGCTCGAACGGCTTGGGGGCCGCCGCGCTCGCCTCGAGGGCCTCGCGCCAGGTCTGGGGGGAGTTGGTGGGCGCATGCGCGACGGTCGCGGTGGGGGCGATGGCGAGCCCCGATAGTGCCTGCGTGACGGCGTCCAGGGAGGACATGGTGGGCGAAGAGGTGTGCAGAGACCGAGTGGCGGGCAGACGGAGCAGGTCAGGAGCGTTTTGGGAGCGAGAGCGAGAGAGAGGGCTGCAGTCGGCGCTTTTGGCTGACTCGACTGTTTTGGTGCACGGAGATGTTATCAGATGCAGGTGCGATAGAGCTGGCCGCGGTGCGCGAGTGCGAGCGCGAGGAGCCCGGCGGACGACGGCCCTCGGCGCGAGCAGCATCCGCACGTTCAGCCCGGGCAGCGGCTGGAGCAGAGGCAGAGAACAGCGAGCGCACCGAGTGACGCGACAACACACGAGCCGCGACCGCGACCGGACGGGTCGACGCGATCGGGGCGCTCAGCACATCTACCCGAGCGCGTACTCCGGCTCGACCCCCAGTCTCAGGCAGAGCATTGGCATTGTATGTTGTATATACAGACAGGGACATGCGACGTATATCGTGATCATTAACGGCCTCCATTCCAATTCGTACAAAGGGCGAGCTGCGTGTCCGTGCGAGATGCGACGAAAGGGAGGCGGTCAGTGGTATATGCTATGGTACAGCCCAGACAGCGGCAAGCGACATGAGGCTCGTGGCTTCATGCTTGCGTGGGACCAGGGGTGGAGGGACCCTCGTCTTCTTCTAGCTGGTGCTCGGCGTCCTCCTTGATCTCCTCCTCTATGGCCTTCCGCCCTTCCTCCGTAAGGGTCGGCAAGCCAGACGAAATATCAGGGTCAAAGTAACGGGGAACGAACCTGCAGAACAATGAGCAGCTGCCCATAATCAAAAGAAACAGCTCACTCACTTGACGCCCTTGCGTTTCCGTTCTGCAGCCTCGTCTCTCTGCTTCTGCTCGATCGTAAGCTTGTGCTTCGTCGCCTCGCTGTACTCCTTCTTCAGTAACCTCGTCGTCACGCTATCCCACAGGTTCCTGCTCTCGTTCGGAAGCTGCCTCTCCAGTGGCCGCACCGTCTTCGGGATAACGTGCAACGTGGACAGATCGAGCAGCGTCGCATACTCGCTGTCCGGCGCGTCCACACGCTTCCACCGAATCTTGTGCCGCCACGACCCGTCAAACACCGCGAGCACACGGTCCCGCGGGACGTGCTTCACCCGCGTCCACTCCTCGTGCACGCTCTCCTTCGGGTCGTACGTGTGGATGACGCCCTCCAGGTGGAACTGCGCGCGCCCAAGCCACGATTCCTCCTTGTACTCGATCACCGCCCGCAGCTTCTTCCCCTCCGCGCCGCCCGAGCAGGTGATTATAGTCGAGTCCCCGACCGTCACATAGAAGCTGCCGCGCAGGAGCCCGTTGACCGCTGCTATCGGGTGCGTGATGTGGTACGTCTCCCCCGCCCCTGGCGCCCCCGTGATGCGCACGAAGAGGCCCTTGTTGAACGAGCCGGGCATGACCCGCAGCGTCGTGCCCGACACCTTGGCCGAGATCTGGTCGACCCCCGCGAGCTCGACGTGGCGACTCGGGCAGCTCGCGTGGAACGCGGAGATTGGGGGGTGGTGCGAGACCTGCTCAGTCAGGTAGGCAATGCGGATGCGCGGTTTGTCCGCAGCGGCTGCGGCCGCCTCCTGTAGGTCCGCCACGCCGGACGCGGTGTCGTTCGCGAGGCTGAGACTCGACATGCCCGCCTCGAGGTTCGTCTCGACGAGCTCGGGCGAGGTCGCAGGGGTAGACTTGGCGGTTGCCGAGTGTGCGCGGGACATGAAGCTGAGCCCGCTGAAGGCGCTCTTCCCACTCTTGCCGCTCTTGACGCTCGCGTTCTCGGAGAACGGCGGGTGCGCAAAGTCGGGCGTCGAATGTGTCGCGGGACCGTATAACCATGATGAGGTGGGTTCCTCGCTGGGCGCCGTGACGTAGAGATATTGGATGGGAGGTTCGTTGGGATCCGAGGGATAGTCGACGGGGACGACGTCCCAGTGAGAGCGGAAGTGCTCGCCCAGCACCGAGTTGTATGGCTTGCACACCTTGCCCCTCTGCGGATATAGTTAGTACGAAGCGCTAACGAGCAGACCAAAGTCGGCAAGGGGATACCAGGTCACTCGTGATGAAGGACTGATACTCACGATGAACTTGAGGTCCTTCGAGAAGGTAAACCTGAGTACGGCCAGCATACGCTCGAAAGGATCGTCGGAATCATTGATTCTACATAAGGAATGCTTAGCATACACCGGTCACCGTGGGGTCAATACTCACGCGGCGAAGAGGTCCGGTCTGTCCAAGTATTGCCAGTACTCTAGGTTGGGGATGGGCTCTAGCAACGACGCCGGGAGGGAAAGACGCCTGGTTTCCCTCAATGAGCCGCGAGATTTGCGGCACAATGAACAGCAGCCACGTACATAGCGGCGATATCCTTCACACCCAGACACTTCTTGACGAGCTGGACAATCATCTTGAGCTTGCCACTCTCACCGGTGTCGCCGTTGTCTGGCACAGAGATGGGCTGTCCGGGTGCATCTTCGTCGATGGGCGTGCCCGCAGCCGTCTTGTCCAACGTAGCCATCGTGATAGACTGACCAAAAGGCGAAGAGGGTCGTGGTGGAAGAGCAAGGAAACAACAGACAAGAACGTGCGCGACTCGCTACGTCCACTTAGGGCTTATGGGCGCTTGATTATAGCCATTTGGTACACTGTGCCGACGCGGCGCTGCGCAAGCGGCGTCATGGCACTCGTGCCAAGCTTGAAGCAATGCACATCCCTGCAGCGTGTGTTAAAAAGTGGTTCGACCCGGGTTCGAACCGGAGACCTCCTGTGCGCCACAAACCCAAGCCTGGGCTGATAATGTGAGACAGACGTGATAACCAACTACACCATCGAACCGTGACAAAACAATGGCAAGCACCATATTCCAAGGTTTTCGTTTGTGTCATCACTACCAGCGTTCCTGCGATCCGACATCTTCGACGCGAACTTGGTGGACGCGGGAGGTCTGTATCCAAGTTCGACATAGTACAACGCTATAACCACGTGGAATAGCCGTCTATCTCCCGCTACTAGCAACATGGGGATAAATATTGCGTCAGGAGCCCCTTTCACTAATTGACGCGCCAACTGACAACCTACCACGCCCTCAGGATGGTCTGTGACTTCTTCCACCCCGGCGTGGGTGGTGTAGAGAACCACATATACATGTTAAGTGCCGACCTGATCCGACGAGGACACAAGGTAATGTTCGCGCTATGTCGTTTGCTCGCCGTTGACACGTCGCCAGGTCATTGTCATAACACACAGCCACCCACCCGACCGTGTAGGTGTGCGGTGGCTTCTTCCAGGCCTGAAAGTATACCACATACCTTTCCCGACGATCGCCTCGTCCGCCACCCTTCCCAACTACTTCACCTTTCTGCCATACCTACGGACCATAGTCTTGCGTGAAGGCATCGAGCTAATCCATGGACATGCCAGCCTATCCTCGCTAGCCCATGAAGGGATTCTGCATGCTCACCTTATGGGCGTGCGTACGGTCTTCACAGACCATAGCCTCTTCGGGTTCGACGACGCTGCCAGTATCTTGACAAACAAACTGTTGGAAGCTGCTTTACGCAACGTAGACGCCGCTATATGCGTCTCCCACACGGGGTATGGCAGCACATCCTTCGAACGGCCTGTAGTTGACTCCAAAGCACGCAGACGGGAAAACACGGTTCTACGAGCGCGAATGCTACCATCAGCGGTGCACGTCATACCCAGTGCGCTTGTCGCTGACCAGTTCAAGCCTGCTCCCGCACTTCCTTCGGGTGATATCAGTGAGTTCTCAACTAGCTCCACGGTGCTCACCCATCTAAAGATATGCGCGCGTAGTCACTATTGTGGTGATAGCACGGCTCGTGTATAGAAAGGGGATCGACCTTCTGGTGGCTACCGCCCCTCGAATATGTGCTCGTTTCCCAAACGTACGCTTCCTCATTGGTGAGTTCAGAGTGAGACACGCCGTACGTCACTGCCGCTACTTAACATGTATTTGTGCGTAGGTGGAGACGGTCCGAAGATGATAGACCTGCTGCAAATGCGAGAAAAATACCTCCTTCAGGACCGTATCGAAATGCTGGGACCAGTTCGCCATAGTGATGTTCGCAACGTAAGCATTTGAAGTGGATATCCATGACAATGACGTTCATTTGGAAGATACTTCGTACAGGTCCTCACACAAGGAGCTATCTTCATGAACACATCTCTCACCGAGTCATTTGGCATCGCTATTCTTGAGGCAGCCTGTGCCGGGTTGTACGTCGTGTCCACCCGTGTAGGCGGCGTGCCCGAAGTCCTTCCCGAAGACATGATATCCTTCGCCAATCCCGACGAAGATGGTATGTCCATAATGTCCCCCTTCGCGATCGTTCAGAGTCCTCACACGCCCCAAAGACGTCGTCCGTGCCATGTCAGAAGCAATCGAGCGGGTCTCTGCCGGCAAGCACGACCCTTTTCGCGCGCATGAATTAATCAAGGGCTTTTATGATTGGAAACAAGTTACCCGAAGAACAGAGTTGGTATATGAATCGGCCCTGAATACGCCACCTTACGACTTTTGGACACGACTACACCGGTATGCATAATCCACTTCGTTTTGAATAGAGCGCTCATGCTTCACCCAGTACTCTCGACGTTGGACGCTTCGCGGGCATTATCTATGCCATCATACTACTTGTGGATTGCTTGTTTTTTATGTTCCTCGAGTGGTATCTTCCTGAGGATAAATTAGACAAAGTTCAGATGCATTGGGAACCTGAGCGCTTTCGAGAGGCAAGACGTTCCTACAATCCCCCCCTGTTCACGATACTTACATACATCCCACAGGCTGTGGATGAATGCGAGAGACCAGAGGACTTATGAACCGCTGATCCTCGTCGCGGCGATAACGTAGGCGAGTGGTCACAGCGGGCGGCAAAATGTGTCAGATACTGATGCGCATCCGCATTGCTTCCACAGTGACGAAGCCATACGTACGGCAGTCCCTTCGACTTTTCTGTATCTCTTATCGCTTTCGCGCTGGGACTTCGCACATATGGCGTCTCTATAGGCGACGTCCATACAGTTGGCATCCCCTCGCAGATGGTTCATCTCCGGATGTTCGGGCCGCGCGCTTTTTGCCCCTCACGTGGGGCCGAGTCAACGATTATATGAATGCTCCGCCATCAACTTTCGCCCTGGCCTCTTGCACTCCTCCCACCGGTGACACTGCAGTCATGAGCTCGTTAGTAGATGAGAAGAGTAGCAGCATCCTCGAGAGCCCCCACCCGAAACAACCTCGGCCGATACAGCAGTGGTACGCGTCTGTAACGGACTTCTTGACCCACTGGGGCATCGAAACGAACGGGTGAATACTTTCAGCCGCCCTCTCTAGTTTTGTGGCTGCACGCGCTAACGCGCGGGAATTTCTCTCGTAGAATCGACCCTATACTGCCGGAAGACAGGACAGATACCAAGTTATACCAGATGTTCTTCGTATGGTTCTCCTCGAATATGAACGTCCTAGGGTATGTGCATGCTCTGCACGGTGCCGGGGGACTGTGCCGAACTTTTTGTGTGTGACCTTCCCAGGTTTGGTACCGGGTCGGCAGGACCCGCCTTTTTTGGCCTCGGGCTGCGGGATTCCTTCATCATCCTACTCATAGTAGACTTGATGTGCGTAATTCGTTCCGTAGAAGTGTGCATGGACTAGACCTGACTCGGGCCCAAGCTCGTGTGCGATACCCGCTTACTTGTAAGGATTTAGGGTGACTACATCCCGCGAGGCTCCAATACTCATTTTTACAGTGCTGTTTTCGGACCCAAACTTGGCATGCGGTCGATGGTCTTGGCGCGCTATTCGTGGGGGTATGCATTGTACCCGAGGCGCGCACCAGCCATCGCTGAACTCACATCCCCTTATAGATATCTAGGATCAATAATTCCCAGTGCCTTCACAGTGTTCTCGATGCAGGGCTTTCTAATTCTCAACTGTATCATTGGTGGGCAAACCCTCGCAAGTGTTTCCTCGCATCTCGACGACACGTTGGGCATTGTCATTATAGGCGTGCTATCGCTCATTGTAAGTTCCTTCGAATTTAATGTTTCAGGACCATTCGCATCTTGACCAAGATCGTAGGTCACGTTCTTTGGATATCGTGTGATTCATTTGTAGGTGTCCGGCGTACCTTACCTTGTATCAGTAAGTAAAACTGAGCCTCACATTCCTAGGTACGAGACGGTCGCCTGGATCCCAAGTGTCATCACCTTCATCGTGATGCTCGGGCTTGGTGGCAAACACCTCACGGAAGCACCTGTCCCACCCTCACCGTCGGCGGCCACCGTACTCTCCTTCGCTACCACTACCGCCTCCAGTGTCATCAGTTGGTGCATCATGACTCCAGATTATGGGGTATACCACACGAGCAAGGCGTCAAAGTGAGTTCAAAGTCGTCCCTTCTCCGGGGGTGCACTCAAGTTTCTCCCGTCAGTACAAGGATTTTCCTTTATAGCTATGCAGGTTTCTTCATCGCTAGTGTAAGTTTGCAACTCGTGCGGTCAAGTCCCACTACGAACCCCTTTTCTACTAGCTCACTGCGCACTTTTTGGGCGCCGCCTTTGCCGCGGCGGCGCCTGGAGTATTGTCTTGGGAAACAGGCTTCGATGGAGGCAACAGTGTTGGTGGACTTATAGAGGCAGTCCTCTCCAAAGCTGGCGGCTTCGGCAAGTTCCTCACCGTGGTGTGCGCCCTGTCGATCCCGAGCACGTGTGCACCGACCATGTACACATTCGCGTCCAGCCTGATGACGGTACATCCGTGGTTCGCTCGCGTTCCCCGGTATGTGTATGCGGTCATATCCACAGCCATGTGCGTTGTTTCCTACGGTCACTATCGTTATGTGGGATGCACCTGACGGGCAACATGGCGCGCAGTTTGATACCTGTGGCCATCGTGGGCGCCAACCACTTCTACAACACGTTCGTAGACATCCTCAGTAAGCCCTCTCATCGTCTTTCTATCAGCGTGCCATCCTGACGGTCGGGAAGGCGTCATCGGTTACTGGAGCACCGTCTTCTCCGCTATCGTCATCGCTGAACATCTCATCTTCCGCAAAAACGATTGGACGCGTTACGACCTCTCTCAGTGGTGCAAAGCTCGCGAATTGCCACTCGGCCTAGCTGCGATCTTCGCTTTTCTCTGTGCCTGCGGGATTATCGTTCCGTGTATGTCGCAGGTGTGGTATGTCGGACCCATCGCCAACGCCGGCACAGGCGACATTGGCATTGTGGTCGGCTTCGTGCTAGCGGCACTGGTATATCCTGCGGCTAGGGCAGTAGAGTTCGCATTTTCGGGTAGGTAGATGCCATCCAAGAATTTTGGTTACAATTTGTACTTCCTAGAAAAGGGAACAGTCGTCGCTTGTTTTGTGCTCAGTCGCGGCGGCAGTAAGTGACTGTACGCGTGCGAGATCCACTGCGAGGTAGGTGGATTAGTACATTGAGCTGTTTGTGGCGGCAACATCCTACTCACTTCACACGCTCGAGGGCGAGTATCCCGCGGGTCGATAATTTCCTCAATCCCAAAAACGTTCGCCGTGCGTATCGGGTCGCGTACATGCTCAAACTTTGCCAATAGATCCTTCATCAACTTGTCGCGAGCCCCCGGCGAAGGTGCGCTGTCGAGTTGGCGTTTGTACGCAGCTTCAATACCTCCTTCAAGTGGCAGGCTTCCCCAATCTGCCGACGGCCTGTTCAACGCCTCGATCAGTAAACATGAGAAACCGATTTTTTTGGCCTTGCGCACCACGCGACACGGGTGTTTAGCCCGTCCCCAGGGTCGGATAATGCACCACCAGCAACCCCAAACGCCCTTC